GGCTGAGTGACAATGAGCAGCTTTTTCTTTATTTAATTCAATAAATAACCCCCATATGTAAGCCACAAAGCAAAATGAGTTGTATGGTTTGGGATGGAAATAGACACGGGAAATTGTCCAGCTAAAGCCCTCGGAGCCTCCCAGCCCTCAGAAAATACCAGGCTTTGCCCTTCGGGCGCTTGTGCTGATTATGATTAGCCCTTTTTTTCTGGTCCAAGTTGCTCAGTATCATTAGAAAGAATCCCATCTCCTTCCATCAAGTCCGGACTGTGGGTCAGGAAATGGGCTCCAGGAGGGAGGGAGGGAGCAGGAAGGGAGCTAGTGAACCAGGACGGTAGTCAAGTGATGGCAGAAGTGATTTTTTTAAAGGTAAATCAATGAGTACGAAGCACTTCGGCTTCAGTGGTGGTAAAGTTCATTATTTTAAAGGATAGTTATGATTACTTTCCCCAGGAAGCCCTCCCTGCCTTCCTAAGACTTTGTAAGGTGCTTCTTTACAGCCCCCGAGTTTAAGAGCTTGTGTCCTCCTGCAGTGATTCCGCTAACTGTTCGTCTCCCCTCTAGAGCCAGGAGTGCCTGCAAGCTGGACTGTGGTGTCTTACTCAGCTCAGTGTCTCAGTGTCACAGGTGGGCACAGGTAACCAGGTTCTTGGTGACCGAGACAAAGAACTAAACTGAACACCCAGATCTGATAGCAGAGAACATGGGGGCAGGGCAACTCCAAGCAGAGATTGACCTCATGGGCTGGAGGGACTCTATTCTTACAGGATGGATCCTTCCTGGCTAGTTTTGGCAGGCTTTTACTGTGCACGTTCAAGTGGTTGTGTAACTTTAAACCTACTGCACCTGTGGTCTCCCGTGGTTTTCCCAGATTGGCCTCCAGGGAAGGGGGTCCCACATTGTTACCTAGTTGACCCCCCCCTTCTCCTGGGTCCCCCTGTACTAGGTTCGCCTTTCCCTTTGCCAGAGAATTATAGCTCTCCATGTTAGAGGTTGGTGAAAAGGAAAGGAATTATTTATTCAAGTTATACAGACTTAAGGCTAATGACTTAAGGTCCTCATCAAAATCCCAAAGTCCCTTAAAACACCCACAAACACACACACAGTCCTTCTTTCCCCCTTTGTCCAGTCCAAGGCACTGTATCTCAGGAAAAGAAATAGAAAGACACGTGGTGATTCTTTGCTAAAGCTGAGTGTGGTTCTCTGCTAAAGCTGCGTGATGATTCTTCTCACAGCTGCAGCGGGGGGTGGGGTCCCCCCACGCTGGCCAAAGCCGTGTGGTTCTCTCTGCTAAAGCTACATGGTGATTCTCTCTCACACGGCTGTGGGAGTCCCCATTCTGGCCAAAAGCACATGGTTCTCCCTCCAACGGCTGCGAGGTCTGTGTTTAAGTCCCCACACCAATCTTCCTCTGCAGCCCCATTTCCGACTCCTCCCACAATCGGCTACACCTGCCAGGCCTCCTGTATCCTCCCATATCCTCCCAGCTTTACTGGGCTGCCATAGTGAATCTGGGCAGGTGTGGCCCCCTGGCGTGGAGCCAATCAACTCCAAGCTCTCACACAGGTGCTGTAACAGGGGCTGGGGGGTTGCCTTCCACTTACATCTTGGGTGGAAGTCACTCCCTTCTCCTTGACTCAAAGCATGGCCACTGCTACTTAACATATCTATGAGACCAGTTAAAGGTTATAGATATGTTAAATGACCATTCTAGAGGTTAGCTGCAAAACTGTTGCTATGCAAAACAACTCAATGGCCCTGTTCCATGTATCCCATCCCCCCAGCTCAGACTTGTGGTGGTGAGGACAACCCATATTTTTAATATTTCCTGGACATCCTGAGTTCTGGACCTCATTACAAAGCCTCCTTTTGGGAGCCCCTGGCCACACCCTCCTACATCAGCACATAATGCTTTGTTCACTCCCGGGAAACGTTTGCTGTCTGAAAGAAAAAGGAGGGCGAGGCAAAGCAGTCGGCAGGGTGCTGTGAGGGGAAAAACATGGCAACGGCAAGAGCCGCCCCCCAGACGGAGACCCCCAAGCCAGGGAGACAAGTTGCAGGTGTCCATCTCTGGGTCTCCAGTAAGGAGCAAGTTAGACACATTTATGGGGGGTAGGCGTGCTTACGTGGTTTTCAGTTTCAGTTTTGATCTCTTCTTTATTGTGAGCGATATCATCCATACAGCAACGCCTACAAGAAATACACTTCAGGGAGCAGTAAATGAACACGTGTCATCGCCACGCGGGTCAGGAAAGGGGGCTCCCAGAAACCCCCCACCCCCACAACCCACGTCACCAATCACATCGTCTGCTCTCGTCCCCAAAAGTGACCCCAGTTCTAACTTTTCTGACCATCATTGCCTTGCTTTCTATGATTTTACCACCCAGGTATGGATCCCTGACTGACGTAACTTAGCTTTGCTGGTCTTCCAACTTCCTGTTAATTTGTACAGCGGGCTTTGCGGCCAGACTTGCCCCTGTCCCTCAGATTGGGATCGGCCCACGTTGCGGAATGCAGCCCTACCTGGCTTTTCATTGCCGTAGCATCCCATTATATGACTGTGTCACAACTTCACTTAAACGATAGAGCATTTCACTTAGAAACAGATATATGTAGGGCGTCTCCACCTGGTTTCCTCGGGCACCGTAACTGGTCCAGAACTGAACTGCTCCTCTGTTCCCCTTGAAACTTGCTGCGTCTCCCGGATTCCCTCCCCTTCAGAGGAGCCGCCTGGTGCCCGAGCCAGGAACGCGGTGTCCCTGATTCTTGCTCCTTCAGTTCCTCTTGGTATTCAGGCACCGTTTCCGGAGGCCTTCTTCCACGTCTCCAGCTGTCTTCTCCCCCTCCCGCCGCCCTCAGTAAGGCAGGAGCGTATTTAGCCACCTGTTGCCAATGGACGTTTGCAGGCCTTCCAGTTTGGGGCTATTACCAACAGTAAACACTGATGTATTTATTTTCTGGGAAATTCAAATGTGTTTTGTTTTTAAATTTTAGTCTACCACCGAAATCAGTGAATCCCTAGCGTTGTGAAATCAAAACTAGTCTTCCCAAAGAAGGTAGACGAGAGTTGAAGAACGTGTTTCTCCAAGTGGGTCCAAGATGACTCACATCAATGTCATTAGAGCAGGGCTGTCCCACCTTGTGGTGTCTCTGGGCCACACTGGAAGAATTGTCTTGGGTCACACATGAAATACACTGCAACACGTAATCACAAAAATAATCTCATGGTTCACTTAAACTTACGATTTTGTGTTAAGCCACATTCATAGCCATCCTGCGTTGCCTGGGGCCTGTGGGCCGTGGGTTAGACCCCGGATCTAGAAAACTTGTTGAGTAGGCAGTTCAGAAGGCCCAGCCCGAACCTGCCAAATGAGAGCCTCTGGAGATGAAGCCCGAAAGAGCTGTATTACACAAGCTCCTACCCACGCCTCCCTTCCCATGAGTCTTATATGGATCACTAAGCCTCTGCTTGCTGCGGATGTTGCCTGTGGTGGGACAAATCTCAGTGGCTGGCCTGTTAGGGAATTCTAGGTGAGGAAGGGAAGTAGTGCCCTCATGCCCAGGAAATCAGCTCTCTCCCTACTTCCTCTGTCGCTGGCTCCTTGCACTGGTGTATGAACAATCCCCAGGTGGACTCCGTCCTCAGCACGCCTGCAAGTTGCGGCCCCAGCCTTTGCTTTACAACCCTCACCCCCTCATCTGCGCCGCAGCCCGCAACCTCGACCCCAGTTTCTTCCTATGCTGCTCCAAATGCTCCAGAACACTCAACCAATCTCATTCCCACTACTTCCAGTCTTTCCATGACTCTTCACGGTGCTCTATAACCTCAACAGGGCACTTAATTTTTGTTGTTGTTTTAAACAGACTTCATTTTTGAGTTTTAAGTTCACAGCAAAACTGAGCAGAGTTCTCATACACCCAACCCCGAACACACACAACCTCCTCCACTACCAACACCCCACACGAGTGATGCATTTATTACAATCTATGAACCTACATCCATGTATCATAATCACAGAAAGTCCTGTTTCTGCGGGTCTTGGCAAACGTATGGCACGTATCCACCATCATACAAACCGAGTAGTTTCACTACCACACAAACCCTGTGTCCCACCTAGTCATTCCTCTCCCCACGACCCAATCTTTTTACTGTCTCCACAGTCTTCCCTTTTCCAGAATGTCACACAGTATGTAGCCTTTTCAGATTAGCTCCTTTCACTTAGTAATACACATTTTGTTTCCTCATCTTTTCATGGCTTGATAGCTCATTTGAGTACTAAATAACATTATGTTGTCTGGTTGTTTATCCAACTAATGCGCGGTGTCTTTGGTTGCTTCCAAGTGTTAGCAATTATGAGTAAAGCTCATGAACATTGCTGCGCAGGTTTTGGTGTGGACATACTTTCAACTCCTTTGGGTAAATACCGAGGAGTGCAATTGCTGGACACATGGTAAGAAACTTAATTTTTTAAGAAACTGACAAACTGCCTTCCAAGTGACTGTATATCACTTTGCATTCGTATGAGACAAGAGTGAGTGTTCCTGGGCTGGTGTAGCTCAGTGGCTTGAGCACGGGCCTGTGAAGCAAAGGATTGCAGTTCAATGCCCAGTCAGGGCACATACCTGGGTTGCAGGCCAGTTCCCAGTGGGGGACACACAAGAGGCAACCACACATTGATATTTCTCTCCCTCTCTCCTTCCCTTCCCCTCTCTCTGAAAAAATAAATAAAATATTTTTTTTTTAAAAGAGTGAGTGTTCCTGTTTCTCCACATCCTTGACGGCTTGGGTGTTGTTGTCTGGATTTTGGCCATTCTATTGGGTTTATAGTAGTAGCTCGTCATTTTAATTTAGGCACATAGTTTTTGCACTGCTCACTTTTTTGGTTTTAGTGTCTTATTAAAATTTTGCACAGCAAGTTATAAACAGGTCAGTTTTTATTATTAAAAAGGGTCTTATTTACAATCGTTTCTTAAGACTTTTTTTTTCCTCTTAAATATAGATCAATGCAGAGGGGACACCAGAGGAAGTCTTTCTTCGACTCTGCACAGCTGTTGACTCTATTTTCTGAAGACAAAGTGCATGTATGTTAAGGAGAGTGGAGACAGAAGAATATTAGAAGGCTCATACCTTAACAGTATGTTTCAGGTTAAACCTTTCGCGTCCCCCTGAAATCCTGACACTGCTGTTTGCTTCCCAGCTTAACCTGTCTGAGGCGTCTGGAAACCATGCATGGTGCATCCGGTATCACCCCGCCTCTTCCCAACTCAGACCGCGGTCTGTAGTCACTGCACGCACTTTCCCATCATGCAGGCAGCATCCCAGAGCTAAGGTAGAATGAGGCCAGCAGTGCAGCGCGTCTGCCAGTGGTGCCCTCAGGACTTTAGCTAGATGGTCTGATCATCTGGTTCTCCTCTCATCAAACAGGCAGTTAGCGTCCATAACTTCGTTATCTTCCTTCCTCTCCCCAAGGTCTGTATGCTCTTGCCTGATGAAGGCCCTTCATATTGGGGGCGGTAGGGAAGAAACAGGCCAGGGTATCTTTCTCTGGTAACTGTTTCCTCAAATCTTATCTACTAAGTAGCTCAGAGCCAGAGATTAGGTTGACAGTAAGAGTTACTGGTTAGAAATCTGATTCAATTTGAAAATTCTTTAAAAAAACAAAAGTGAAACTGTATAGCTTTTCCAAGACAGCTAAACCCAGACTAGTCACCAATTATTTCTCTACCCGCTTTTATGAAACTAGCTACTTGGAATATTGTCATAATGGCTAAAAGAACAAACTGTGGAGAAAATTGTCTGACCTGTTTTGTACCTGGTGGTGCATTTGGCAATTATACATCAATACAAATGACCAAACGTAATTTAAAAGCCTGAGGTGGTTTATTATTGCATTCACTGGACTAATGTCAACTTAAAGAGCTTTGATTTTAAATGATCACCTATTTACTTAACAGTTGCCCAGACAAATACAGTAACAGTAATAAAAGTGATGTGGGTGGGGGGAGCATGTCAGTACACAATGTTTAACAGATCCTGATGCTATTATTTGTTTCCCATGGGCCTTTTGCAGGGGTTTGCAAACCTTATCAAACCCAAATGTGTAATTGTTTCCTCGCATCAAACCAGTGAAGTTTGGGTTCTCTTCTGTGCTATCAGTTGCCAAAATCAGAGTTTCTTATGTATCTACTGGAATAACTGCATCTTCCTCTAGTCAGTCACGAGAGACCATAGTTTCTGTTTGCATGATTTTTTTTTCTTCAGTGGTTGTGCAGATAAGAATCCATTTCTGGGACAAAACTGTATTTTTAAAGTCATCTTTTCTCTTGCAATAAGTATGTACAAATAAAGTAAATGGAACACATGAAAACTCTTTTTCTATTTATTTGTAACTCACATCATTCCGGAAAGCATTTGAAGCTTTATTCCAAACAATTAGAAGCAAACACAGTAATATTTGAGATTTACGATATGCTCATATGGTTTTAATTCTGGCCATAGATCAGTTTTGAGCTATTACAGAGAGAACTCTCAGTATATTCATGACACATGGTAATTTTCGTTATTTCCTTTTTTTCGAGCAGTCACTTGTAAACAGAAATGTCAGTGTTTGCTAAAGAAGAAATAAATTTCTTTGGTTACAATTATGCCTCTACCAACAAAAGGGGGCATGTTCCTACCATTCACACAGCTGTCAAATACTTTATTACTACCCCAAGTTGTCACATACTTTATAGGGGAGCACAAGGAGTATCTGAGCAAATTAGAAAAAGACAGTTACAGGATGAAAATGATCAGTTGTACCAGAAAACACAAGACGACTTGACTCTTTATAGGGATTATTAACATTCTTTGAACAAATACCACATATTGGCAAACACAGTCCATGCTCACCATCGCTTTGACAGCTTGGGTAAGTGAAATGAGATATCAGGGCAGCAAACTGTAGTTAGCTGCCCTCTTGAAAAAATATCAGCAGGGGTAAATGGCTTTGCCCCTGGACAGTATCTAGAGGTGCAAATCAAGTCTCCTATACTACTGCTAAAGCACATTACTGATCTGAATGGCTTGAAATGACATCACAACTTTAAAGTCATAGGATTTTAAAGCAGGAAGGGACCTTAGAGGTCTCTGCCTATTAAGTAGGAGAGCTTGTGTGTACGTAAGTAGAAGACGTCAGAACACGGTCCAAACTCCTTCACAATGGTCTACTTTCAAGGCCTCACCCGATCTGGTCCTGTACCTCCCCACCCCATCAATCACCATTCTCCTCTTGCTCGTCTGGCTAAATCTACAGCAGCCCACTTAATATTGCCTGAGCAGGCCAAGCTCTTTACTGGTCAGGGCCCTTGTCATCCTCCTGCCTGTCTCTCCAGATACCTGCAAGGCCAATCCATTCGGGTCGCAGCTTAAACTGACCCTCGTCATTGAGGCGCTTTTTCACTATTCCTTCTAAAATGACAGAATGGCCCTCATTCTTCCACCACTTTTCTTCAAGCATTATTTTTCTTCATTAGCATTTACCTCTGCCTAAAACTACCTAATTTTTATTGTTGGTTTTCTGAATTAGACTAATAAACTCCACAATAGCAAGACTTTGTATGCTCAGTCCCACACAGAATTATTGAAAGCTAACATTTAACCCTTGAAACTTTAGTTTTCTCAACTATACAGTAGAGATGATAAGAGTAAGCAACCTTACAGAGGTGTTAGGAGAATTAACTTAATAATACATGTAAATTATTAACTAGTTCCTAGTGTTCAATAAAGGGTTGTTCTTGTCAAAATTTACTGAGTGCCCCACTCCCGCACTTGGCACTAGGATCCCAAATTTCCACTCTAGTACCCTTTCTATTACCTCAGTCTAAAACCATGGCTGAGAATGAAGGTGCATGGCCTAACTAGGGTCCCAGTGAGAACCCAAATCTCAGCCACCAAGGTCAACACATCCATAGACAGGGGGCCCACAGACACGTGGGGATCTCTCTTACCTTCCTAGAGAAAAACATGTAACTCTCCAAAACATTGGTTATACTACCAAAAATGTTTACTGAGAATCTAAGAACCAGGTCCTAAGAATAGATATGGATGGTCTCTGTCCTCATAGAGCTAAATGTGACACCACTCTCAAAAAGAGTGGTTAATAAGCTACAAGAACTGTGGGTAAAAAAAAAAAAAGGAATTATTTCTTTTTCTGGGAACTAAACGGAAGCACATTTTTCATCCAGGTAAGAAATAAAAACAAATACTTTGCAGCCTAAATGGGACAATGCCTCTATAAACTTGAGAAAAAACCTGCTTGTTTATCTGGACACTTCTAATCCTGAACAGTGCACCTAGAACAATAGCCTTCCAACTTTGCTATCCACAGTGAAAAATAGTTTATATAGCATGACTAAAAAAGCCATTTCACAAAACATTTACCTTTGCTACATGTGATGTAATACTTCCTCTATTTTTTTTAAATGTTCTTCACACCTTGGAAAATTGTGTTAAAAAAACAACGCATATTAGGTCAAGTGAGAGGCACCAAACATACATGGGAACAAATTCTACCTGAGGCAGGAGACACAAGTCTTAGTCCCAACTTGCTTAAAGCCTCATGGTCACATGTTCGCTGCTATATTAAGATATGCAATTATATGCATGTGTCTGTCTATGTCATCATCACTGCAGACCATTTCAGTGCTTCTCCCTCATCCAGATACGCTTCTCCATTTTGTACTATAAACCTAGGCATGTGCTCAGGTTTATATTCTAGAACTACACTGCACCAGGAAGAATGAATGCAAGTCAACCCCTGCCCCCTCCAGCTCCGCCACCTTCCTGATGCCTGACACCAAGGTAAATAGGGGAACAAGGCAGACGCTGACTCTGGGGCAATCTGTCTAGGTTAAAATCCAAGCGTCACCAATCTGCTAACTCTATGACCTTGGGCAGGTTATGTAATGTCTCTGGCTAGATTTCCCCATATGAAAACAGAATAAATGAACCTGCCTCATAAGGTTGTCAGAATTAAATCCGTTACTATGTGCTTGCTTGACACACGGTGAGCACTGTATCAATGTTTGCTGTTATTATTAAGTACACATCACACCAATCAAAACCTCCTCTGCCTAAACCTTAAAGCTGTGGTTTTAGATGTCATTAAAAGTTCCTTCAGTTCTTACCAAATAACTTGAGCACATTATTTCAGAAAATACTATATCTGACCTACTGAATACTACTTAGTAAGCAATGCTTTAACAAGTAGGTCTCTGTTGTCCCTTCACAGCTAATACTTTGCAGGAGATGGAAGGCCTAGTAGTGGACGAGACAGCCCTGCCGCCTCCTGCAGTCCTCCAATTAAAACAACACATCACCTACCACTACTGCCCTGTAGGGCCTTTTACAGCTATAAGGACAATTTGCTTGGAGCTGAAAAACTGCAAAACAAATACATCTTTGCTCAAGCAAAAAATAGTCCTTTGTTCCTCAAAATTTTCAAAATCTCTGCCCTTGAAAAATACATTTAAGTACATTTATTTTGTGTATTCTGATTACATAACTGTATCATTCATAGACCTTTTCCGAAGCATATTTCATACTTTGTGGGATTTTTGAATGGATCTGAAGGTTCTCCAACAGTAACTGGTATTGCTTTTATACAAACACGGAAGTTACAGAAGTTAGCATCAAGCGCTACTGCCTTGGTGCGAGCCGAAGGGAGGTCTTCTAGCATATTCACTTAACATTTAATATCAAAATACCCAGACTTCTAATGAATCCCCTTCTTCTTCCCCCAACTAATAATCCCAGGGTGAGAAGTTAAGCTCAAGTCCATTCTTTTCTTTCTGTTAAGAATATATTTTATCAACATGATCAGTAATCTTTAATATATTATGTTAAAAATCTCATATTTCTATATTTAAAATTATATTACTTTTCTGAATTAAAAGTATTCAGGGTACGATTTCAGTACCCTACAATGTGGTAAAGAGGACTGGTAAATAACGTTTTCTTAATTTAAAATTAGAAAAAAATGGGAGACTCAAAATTGGGTCAGTATAATACTTAATCAATATTTATATTGTCTTTTCTAATAGTCAATAATAATTTCCAGGGAATACAGTGATTCTCAAAAACCACATACTTATATTAAATACATGGGGGGGCTTATTTTCATAAAAAAAGAATGAGTAAAAATTCCAACCTGTTTAGTTTTCATATCTGAACACAACCACCTTTCTCCCTAACCACAGTATGTGTTCTTTTGTAACCTAGTTTAATGTAGTGATTCAGCACACACCGAGTGAAAACATTACCATCTTTTACAGAGCTTCTCAAGTCCACCCTCTTTTCTGTAAGAGTCCTTCCTCTTCTTAAAAGACAGACAGGTAAAGCAAACTCTTCAAAAAAATAATTCAGTTTTAACAGTAGTAAAAAAATCCAAAATCTAACCAAAGGAAGTCACAACAAGCATTCTACAATATAAACAGACAGTATCCACATAGTTTATTTCTCACAGTTCTCCTGACAAATGAACATCATTCAGGAACATACTGTATACAGATAAGAAGAAACATACAAAATGTTTTAAATGATGCACAACAAAATCCAGCAGTATAAAAGAATGCAAGTGAACTCTTGCTCACTGCGCAGACTAAATTTAATCACTTGTTTAAATAGTAATAAAAATACAATCTTTTATGGATCTTGTGCAGACTACAAAAGAGGGAAATTATTACCATATATATGATCTTTATATTAGGCAGTTTTCTTTGATGAGTTGCACTGACAACTCCAAATACAGAGGCAGAAGGCTGTGTATTTCAAAAGAATTAATGTGAATTAGAGACTTTACACAGTTACTACCACTGGCACTTTTCACCATAGTTTGTACACATCACATGATCATCTTATATAACATTACATTTAAAAATATTATCTGAGTGACCATTTTATAACATTCACACACCATGAGCTGGTTAAGGAAGCAATGGGACCGCCGCCTCCTGTAGTGCTTCACTGTTGGTAATAAGGACAGTTCACTGTGGTTAAAAGAAATTAGACATCAATGTGGTTAAGCAGCTCCAATTTACTAAAGGCCATCAAAGGCCACCACTGGGACAGTGAGTTTTTTTTTTAAGTGTATATTCTAGAAGCAAACACCTTCATTGGTTAAAACTTTGTCTAAAGAAGTCAGTTTCTGTGCTGAAAACTATTTTCACAAAACTGAAAGCTACTAAACTGTTTTATATAAATACTTTTGCCTTCTCATTATCATATTTATGACCAAGTTCTTCGAAACCTTTGGACTTTACTCACTTTTTAATGTGTGCTCTCATTTCCATCTCACCTATTTAAGCACCACCT